ATTGGACTATTTAGCATTTTGGGATTTTTTTTAATTAAAATTCATTGCATTGAGGCAATTATATAGTTTTATTCCTCATAAACGAAAATATAGTCAATTCGTTGTAACTTGAAGTGAAAAAGTTTCAATCACATACTTTGACCATTTTCTCTGCAATTTACATTTCATAATTCATAAATAAATGATAAATTAGGTGTGATACATGCTAAATGTATCAAAAAAAATTTAAAAAAGAAATATGATGAGAACAAAAACCTGAGATTTACCAGCCTTTGAACTTTAGTCAAAGGGAAAAGTTATGTTTGATAAGATTTCCATTTTCTTTTCCATACAAACTATCATTATATCAAAGCTACAATAAAATCTAGGTAGTTCTATCTTTTCTATCTAACAAATCACACTTTTTCCAAAAAAACTAACAAATTACACATTACATACCATCATAATCAAATAAAATATTTAAACAAATCGTTCTTCTAATCTAGATGTATCCCGTGCATCGCACGGGTACTTCGTCTAGTGTGTGTGTGTGTGTGTGTGTGTGTGTGTGTGTGTGTGTGTGTATATATATATATATATAATTGGAAACTCTAATGGCAAATCGGTGGCTGGTTTTCTGTTGAGGGATCATTTGGGAGCGGCGGTGGCTGTTGATGGCTTTACCCTCAATGGTTTGACAGAGAAGAAAGATGGGGAAGAAATGGAAAGTTTTAGACAAAGCTTGAAATGGGTGGAGACCTTTGATTGTAGGCAAGAGGATATTGATGTGTGTTACGAGAAGTTGGTGGGGCGGTGTAATAATTATGTAGCCCAATTTCGTTTTGTGGATCATGTGGGTTATTGTCTGGCCCAAGTAAATAAAGTGACTTTAATGGTTGCTCAATTGGGCTGGTCAGGTGGTTTTTCTTGGAGGAAAGGCAACATGATACCTCATGAACTTAAGGGAGCTATTCTTTTGGATTCTATGTCTGTATCTCATGGAATTGTTGGTAAGGTGGTAGAGTTATGGGTAGAATTACAACCTAGTGGTGACACTGAAGACCCTGAAGATAGTGACTTTGCCTACAGTGAGAAGGAGTTAGAAGAATTTTCTGGGGATGAAGATGACTCTGATTTGGAAGAATTCATTTCTAAGGAGGATGATGAGTTATCTGCTCATGGAGGGTTAAGCAGCAGTAGTGAAGGAGAATATTACTTGCTTGAGGCTTTAATGGTAGACCCGGATCCTAACTTGTCAGATGATGGTTCCATACATGAATCTGATTCTGACTCTGACAAACGGACTAAATTCTCTGCCAAGACTGATATGAAAGACCAACCTTTAAGTTGGGTATGACATTTGCCACCAAACAGGAATTCAAAGAAGCTGTGGAAAATCTTGCATTTAAGAATGGTAAAGATGTGAGGTTTGTCAAAAATGATAAGGAACATGTTGTTGTGGAGTGCAAGCATATAGGCTGCCCATAGAAGATGAATCTTAGAAAGGTAATGAACTCTCATTCTTGGGTGATTTTACAGTACCATTCCACACATGAAGGTTGTTCTTGGGTCTATCACAACAAAATGGTGAACTCAGGCAAGGTAGCAAGTAGGTGGTTCAAGGAGATTGAAAGTCACTCAAATTGGAAAACTAAAGAGTTTATACAGAAAGTATGTACTGAAGAACGCTTCCATTTGAGTCTCAGGCAAGCTTATAGAGCAACAAGTAAGGCAAAGAGAAAACTGCAAGGTGAAGAAGAAGATTACTTCAAGAAGATTTGGTCATATGTTGCTAATAAAAGAAGAACCAATCCTGGGAGCACATGTGTTGTCAAATTGAGTGAGAATGTTGAGGTGGATGAACAACAAAGATTTCTAAGGATGTATATGTGTTGGGAAGCCTGTAAGGAAGGTTTTAAACATTGTAGGCCAGTGCTTGGGGTTGATTGCACTCATCTGAAGACCAAGACAGAGGGGCAACTTTTAGTTGCAATTGGAGTAGATGCAATTAATAGCATCTTTCCACAATTATTTATGCCATTGTTGAGGGTGAAAGTAGAGAATCTTGGGCTTGGTTCTTGAACCTAATGAAGAGGGATGCTGACATCACCCGAAGGCAATGAGCATGTCTTCACTTTAATGTTAGACAAGCAGAAAGGGCTAATTCAAGTTGTGAATGAACTTTTACCAGGTGTTGAGCATAGATTTTGTGTGAGGCATCTACATGGCAACATGAAGGCAGCAGGTTTTACTGGCAACGCTCTAAAGGATTCTCTATGGGAATGTAGCAAGGCATGCACTCTGAACTCATATAAAGCTGCCCTATCCAAATTCAAAGAAATTGATGGGCAAGCATTTGGGTGGCTGACAGACAAGCACCCCAGAGAATGGTCAAGAGCACACATCTCTACTTAATCCAAAACTGACATGTTGACCAACAACATTTGTGATTTGCTTTAATAGTAATACTAGAGGCCAGACAACAAGCCCTTTTGGTGTGCCTAGAAAGTATAAGGACAATGTTTCTAACAAAGTTGTTCACTAGCAGGACTAAGGCAAGAAAGTGGACCTCAAATCTGTGCCCTAGAATAGTAAAAAAAATTCAAGAGACTGAGAAGTTAGCTGCAGGTTTGATTGGCTATCAATGTGGTGACAATGACTTTGAGATAATGGGTTCACATGGTAACCAACATGGTGTGGATTTGGAGAAGACAGTGACTTTCAATCTCCTTGAACCACCTATTTGCTACCTTGCTTGAGTTCACCATTTTTTTGTGATAGACCCAAGAGCAACCTTCATGTGTGGAATGGTACTGTAAAATCACCCAAGAATGAGAGTTCATTACCTTTCTAAGATTCATCTTCCATGGGCAGCCTATATGCTTGCACTCCACAACAACCTGTTCCTTATCATTTTTGACAAACCTCACATCTTTACCATTCTTAAATGCAAGATTTTCCACTGCTTCTTTGAATTCCTGTTTGGTGGCAAATGTCATACCCAACTTAAAGGTTGGGTCTTTCATATCAGTCTTGACAGAGAATTTAGTCCACTTGTCAGAGTCAGAATCAGATTCATGTATGGAACCATCATCTAACAAGTTAGGATCCGGGTCTACCATTGAAGCCTCAGACAAGTGATCTTCTCCTTCACTACTGCTGCTTAACCCTCCACGAGCAGATAATTCAGCATCCTCCTTAGAAATGAAGTCTTCCAAATTAGAGTCATCTTCATCCTCAGAAAATTCTTCTAACTTCTTCTCACTGTAGGCAAAGTCATTATCTTTAGGGTCTTCATCATCTTCAGTGTCACCACTGGGTTCTAATTCTACCCATAACTCCACCACCTTACCAACAATTCCGTCATTGACAATCCCCCAAACCTCAGCCTCACTGTGTAGTTGTTTTAGAGACTCATCCTCATTGGAATAGGAGTACACTGTCATTGGAAGGGAAGAAATGGATGCTCCTAATTCAGGAAACCATACAGCTGATAGCAAGGAAGACTATTGTGTTCGGACACACCAAACGGGAAGGCAATTGGGTTGCGCACCATCTAGCCCAATTATCTGGAGGAGGCCCGATCTCTTTTACTGAACCCAATCAACTTCCTTGTTTTGTTTGAAGAGCTTTTTGGATGGATTTTTTTGGTATTCCTTCATTTAGATATTAATTTATTTGTTTCCTTCCCTGTAAAACTTTGGTTTTGATCAATAAATTCTGGTAAATGACCCCCGGCATTTACCCCACTGATTTTGGTGGTTGACCTTCTGGGGTAAAGAAAAGGAGTACACTGTCATAAGTTTCTTGGTGCAACCTAGTTCTTTTAACTTCTCGTTCAACACAATCAAACCGAACTCATCAACCTCTACATCATGAAAATTATGGATTGACCCTCCCCTGTGTGCAGGTTTATCCTTGTCATAGACTTTTCCTCCATAAAACAACCTCAAAGTAAAAGTGTTTCCACAGTTGCCTGAACCTGTGTTATATATGCCTTTTAAATGTTAGGTCAATATGTCTTTAATAGGTTTCAACAACACCATAAATACATTTCATAAATACTACTAAAAAAACAAACAAAAGAAAAGCATGTATGGGTATAACCCTGTGTAAAGATAAAAGTGAACTGGTCCCATTTCTTAAATGGTTAAAGATAACCGGCCAAGGGAATCTCACAAAAAAAACCTACCCTACCATGTGAACGCATAAAGGGAAAAAGGAAAAGGGGAAAAGGGAACCTCACCATAAAACCCCTAACATGTGCATACACTGCAAACACCAAATATATACACCTCAGTTCACCCTTATATCCAATACTTTCTTCCACTCTCTTAAAAAAGTTCGGCCTCTTACATTTATCAGCAACATTTGTTGGCGACCGCCGTTCAGCACTTGTTCCTTCTCCTTCACGCCGACGGTCCAGACGGTTCCTCATTCTTCGAACGATTTTGGGGAATTTTCAAGGTCACCGAAGGTTTGTAGAGAGGGAGAACAGACTTCGATTTTTTAGGTAGAGGGAGATGGCCATATTAACTAAACATTAAGGGTATGTTTGGCAAATGGCTTATTAGCCAGTTTTTAGCTTGTTTGACCCATTTCAGCTGTTTGATTAGTCAAGGAAGCTAATAATAGTGTTTGGTAAATGACTTCTAAAATTAGCTTGTTGAATTTGAAAAGCTGGAAAAATGGATGGTTGAAGAAGCTAAGAGGAGCAGCTTCTTCATTCGGCTGGTTCAATTTACACTTTATCAGCCATTTCGAAACGACAAATTTTACCAAACAATATTTATAATCAGCTAACGTAACTAGCCAGTCAAAACAGCTAACGCAACCAGCTGTTAGGAAACAGCCGACACAACCAGCTAACATCAACCACTAACAGCCATTTACCAAACAAGGTTTAAGTTATGGAGAAAATGTCAAGGACCAAAAGTGGATTTTTTTCAAAAAAACAAAATTGCCTTTGTTAAAATGTATAATTGCAATCGATAGGAAAGAGTCAGCTTCGATTGCAAAGCTACATGATTCGCTCTCCTCGCCTTCCTTTCCCCACCACCGCGGGGCAGAATCAGAAATCCATAATCTGCCAGTGACTCAAAGGTTGTCTTTTCCCCCAAATTATCTTTCGGATATCCGTTGATATCTAAAGTTGTGTGCTTTTCATCTCATATCATTTCCAATTCGCAGCTAATTTGATCTTTGAAATTGAAGAGCTTTTCGATGGAGCCCCGGGTTGGAAATAAGTTCCGGCTTGGCCGGAAAATCGGCAGCGGTTCCTTCGGAGAGATCTATCTCGGTATGTGGCCCTAAAGGTTTCAACTTTATGGAATATATCCCCATTTGATGGTTTCGTCAATCCTAATTTGGTTGTCAAATTCTCCAGGGACTAATGTTCAGACCAATGAAGAGGTGGCGATTAAGCTTGTGAGTAAAGATCCCATTTCCTCAATTCTCGAACTTCTGCCCTATATATCATATAGGAATAGTACGTTTTTTTTTTACCAAATATGCGGGACTTTACCTCTTTCTGCTGCTACTGCATTCTCCAGTTCATAATTTACTTTATCGATGATTAGAAATTATGACCTTGTTTTAAATTCATTTGCATGACTTGTCAGTTGTCACTGATTCGATATCAGTGTATTATGTCTTTATTACTCTTATTTGATCTTTTTCCCTGTTCAGGAAAATGTAAAGACAAAGCACCCTCAATTACTATACGAGTCAAAGTTGTATAAATTACTACAAGGAGGAAGTAATTTTCTATTTCTACCTGTTTTTTTTTTTTTACTTTTTATGTGGTGTATGTTATCTTGATGTCCTTTTATTTTGGTGTCAGCTGGAATCCCTAATGTAAAATGGTTTGGGGTAGAAGGGGACTATAATGTTCTTGTGATTGATTTACTGGGACCAAGTCTAGAAGATCTATTTAACTTCTGCAGTAGGAAGCTCTCTCTGAAGACAGTTCTTATGCTTGCAGATCAGATGGTAGAGTCAAGTTGTATTCATTGTTAAATAGATCCTGTCGGTAAGATCTAAATTGGCTGAAGTGGCTGAATCCCATGAATTTGCTGCAGATGTTAAAATTGATTAATCTGCTGAAAACCCCCTTCTAAAAAGAAATGTAACACACTTTTAAAAGAATAAAAATAATATCTAAAACTGAAATGCAGAAATGTCATTTTCTTTCATTTCGTCCATTTCAGCCCAAAAAGTAACTCTTCCTTCACATTTCTTAATTATCAGTCAATTCAGCCATTATAGTAAAATTGCATGTTGTTTGTTGTCAAGTTGGCTGATAAGCGGGAAATAGATCTCTCCAAAGGGGGCTCATAATTTAAGAAGCAAATAAATTTATACTCACCTTTGAGTAAAGTGATTTATTTCCAGATAAACCGGGTGGAATTTGTTCATACCAAATCTTTCCTTCATAGAGATCTCAAGCCCGATAACTTCCTTATGGGGTTAGGAAGGCGTGCAAATCAGGTCTGGGGAAATTATTAATTCATATTTATCTGTTTACATTTGCTTGTGGAATCAGATTCCTTAATGCAATTGATAATTAATAGGTCTATATTATTGATTTTGGGCTGGCTAAGAAGTACAGGGACTCGACAAATCACCAACATATTCCATATAGGTAATCTGCCTTCCATTCGTCAACCCACTTGACTTTATATGCTGAAAGTGTTCTTTTGTTACAACATAGTAGGGAATTAGGGATAGAGCCTCTATTCCTGCACTGCATTCCTTCTGATATTCCAACTCGGCTCTTTGATTTTTGCCTCATGTATGCAGATTATGTTTGAAACTCGGCACATAGTAGGGAAATGGGGGGAAACTCGTCAATTATTTTATTTTATTTTTTCCTTAAAAAATATGAACAGAAATAAATTTTGGTTTAAACATCTTTCTTTTAAATATATATTTATACTTGTTAGTATTTACATAATATAAATACATAAATAAATGATTTGAATATACATAATATTTAAACATTTGAATATACTTTTTAGTATATACATTTAGTTTGAACTAAATGCGGTCAGTTCCCCACAACATCTCTTGTTCGAAATTTCCACTCTATTTTTCTCCCTATTTCCTTCCCATTGAATTTCCCGAGTTTCAGAGAGTCCTTTGATAATTTCATTTTACTATGGCGACTTATATACAGGTGTTGACAATCTTGCAGTATGAGCTTGTGGGATACCTTTACAATTTCTGTCTGGAAAGAATGATTTATTTATCACTATGGACGCTGATGTATTTATGATTTTTATATACAGAGAAAATAAAAATTTAACAGGAACAGCCAGATATGCAAGCACAAATACTCACCTTGGTATTGGTAAGCTTGTTACAAACTACGTGATTTCTTTTAAATATAATTTCATGCAGAATTATTAGTAATAATCCTGACTCCTTGATCCGTAATTATGTTATAATAAAGAACAAAGCAGGAGGGATGATTTGGAATCACTTGGATTTGTGCTCATGTATTTTTTACGAGGGAGGTAAGCATTTATCTCTGTCTGTCCATTTTTCACCTGAACTGGTTCTTATGTGTTTCAAATGTGCAGTCTTCCTTGGCAAGGGTTAAAAGCTGGCAACAAGAAACAGAAGTATGACAAGATTAGTGAGAAGAAAGTTTCCACATCTATAGAGGTAATGATGCATCTTCAATACATTATATTATGTAAGGGGTGATGAATCATTTAACTTTATTGCTGACAGTTATTTTTTGACTTTATATTTTGTAGGCTCTGTGTAGGAGCTATCCTGCTGAATTTGCTTCTTATTTTCATTACTGCCGGTCACTTAGATTTGAAGATACTCCAGATTATTCTTATCTTAAGAGAATTTTCCGTGAACTTTTTATTCGTGAAGGTTTGATTTCTAAAAAGAACACACACACACATTTCTTTGCACATCTGCAATTTCATTAAAAGGCTATGTTTGGATCCGAGGAAGTTCCTAGGAAAGGGAAGAATTTGCTAATGAACTGTTTTTCCACATGTTTGGTTTAAGTGTTTAACTTTAGAACATGTGAAGGGTAATAAAATATTTTTCATATAAAAAAACTATGCGTGTATTTAGATATTTTAAATCTTTATATTATACAAATATATCAATGAAAACTGTTCAAATCCATCAATACATATTTCTCCCAAAAGTTATTTCCTTACCATTGATCTCTGTTTTCTTTCCGTGGTATTTTCAGGTTCCAAACAGACCCTAGATATCTAGGCGACCTGCTTGCCTATCACTATGTAGTTGTCCACGCTGACTTGTATATATGATTATTTGTGGTTTCAGGCTTTCAGTTCGATTATGTTTTTGACTGGACGATCCTTAAATACCAGCAATCACAGCTTGCAAATCCCCCTTCTCGTGCTCTTGTGAGTGCCATTCAAAGATGCATTATTTGTGGTCAATTATTTCTTCTTTGTACTTCAAGATTTTGAAAAATAATAATAATACTCCCTCCGTAACATATATATGTTCCCATTTGAAAAGTAGGTAGATTAAGAATAGTGAAAGGGAATATAAATTATTGAGGGTATGATGGGAAGATAGTGAAATAATGTGTTGGAATGAAGGATAAATCCAAAAAAAGTAGGTGTAATAGTGTATTATTTTTAAAATTATTGAGGGTATGATTGGAAGATTATGAAATGGGAAGATATGAATGTTACATCCAAAAAAGGAAAGTGGGAAGATATAAATGTTACGGAGGGAGTATAAAGTAATGAATGTTTTTTTATGACAGGGTGGCAGTGGAATGAGTTCAGGAATGCCCCGTGCTGTTGCTAATAATGTTGATAGGCAAGCAGGTGTTGGTCTTTTTTCTGGTCTCCACGATGGAACCTTCCTTTTCCCTTGAGGACCCCACCCCAGTCCACTGGTCCTTCATCCCTACATCCCTATTAATAGTTTTTCCATATAAAAGTTACTGTAAAAAATAAATCGAAAGATTAGATTCTGAAAGATTAAAGAAAGTGCCACCTTTGCACCAAAACAAAGCCCGTTTGGTCTGGGTAAATTTGGCTAAAGTGGCCAAGTGGTTGAGGTTGTTCAAATGTTGGTTTTAGCTAAACATTCTTAATTCAAAGAACTGTAATATTTTAAAGTGGAGGTGGGACCGTAAAAGTGTCATTTTTATTCCTATCAGAAACTTAAAAAAAACTTTCTTCTTCACTCTTTTTATGAAAACAACCGCTTTAACCAGCAAAATATAACAAGTTTGTTTTGGTATTAAAAAAGGCTGTTAAAGCTAATAGGCAATGTGGCGCCAAACAGGTGTCAGGAAAAAAACTAATGATGGAACCTTTGTTCATTTCCACCTTTGCAGATTTATGGTTTGTAATGCTGTTCATTGTCTTGAACACTGTTAGCCAAATGATATTACTTATAAAGGGATCAGATGCTAAAAGTGTGTATTCCATTATTCTATAGGTGGTGATGAAGGTAAGCCTACTGGTAATTTGGCACATAGTAGAAGCACAAGTGCTGGGCTTAAACAGAAAGGTCCAACTAATGACTCGGCCATGGGTAAAATGGTAAAATCTACTTGACTCTTGAATACAGGTTACCTGATCTTGGGTTTTGGTTAGGGGGTGGTATTTCGGGTTTGCTTTGTGTATGTTTTACCCAGTTTGGGTTTTCCCTGTTCTCGGATTGGGACAAATTTAAAATAGGCAGGGAAAGATCTTTGCTGAATTTATTTAAAAAAACAACAAAGCAAACTTAATTAGTTTCGGTGTTTCATTGAGATTTTTGGAATTGCTCACATCGACTTATTTCATTCTAGGGCAGACTTAAATGAATAGACCAAATCAGTCTTAATTAGATTAGACTAGCATTAAAGAAACAATGAAATAGTCTCTTTGTACCCCCAAACAATGCGAGCTTTCTATCTATATGGTCAATGCAGTTTTTCACTTTTTTGTTCTCTTGTCTTCAATATCAATTATTTATCTTTTCCAAATTTGGGTATTAGTGTGCAATAGAACTCTCAGGAGGTGTTTACTTCACTGCTAAAGTCACAGTTAGGTTAGTAAGACAGGTGAAGTAAACACGCACACTGCTTAAAAAGCCGCTTACTAATCGAAAGAGGTGCTTAAAGTGTCGCTTATTAAGCATACCACCCCCATGTATTAATTAAGCGGCACTTTAAGCCTTTTGAGTTTCCGAATTTACCCCTTGCCCTTAAGCTATTGTTATCCCTGCCCCACCTCGACCCCACCCTACCCCCGACCCCACCCCGACCCCACCCCACCTACCCCACCTACCCTACCTAACCGACCCCCACCCTACCCCGACCCTACCCCTACCTACCCGACCCCCCCTACCACTACCCCGACCCCACCCTACCCCTACCTTACCTGTCCGACCCCACCCTACATGTACCCCACCTTACCCCTACCCTACCCCATTACCAGACACCCCCCTACCCTACCTAACCGACCCCCACCCTACCCCCTTACCCCACCTACCCTACCCCTACCCGACCCCACCTTACCCCTACCCCTACCCTGACCCAACCCTACCCCATCCTACCCCTACCCGACCCCACCCTACCACTACCCTACCTACCCCACCCCTTACCCACATACCCGACCCCACCCTACCCTATCCGACCCTACCCCCCTACCCCCATAGGCCCTTACCACATCGACCCCACCCCGACCCCACCTTACGCCCTACCCCTACCCTACCCAACCCACCCTACCCCCCTACCCCGCCTCAACCCCCACCCTACCTACCCGAACCCACCCTACCACTACCCCACCTACCCAACCCCAACCCCTACCTACCCGACCACCCTACCACTACCTGACCTCAATCACCCCACCTACCCCACCCCACCCCTTACCCCACTATACCTAGGGTGGTGGGGTCAGGGTGGGGCCGATGTGATAGAGGCGCTAGGGGCAGGGTAGGTGTGGTGGGTCGGGTAGGGTAGGGGTAGGGGCGGGGTTGGGGTAAGGTAGGGTAAGGTGGGGTCGGGGTGGGGTCGATGTGGTAAGGGCCTATGGGGGTAGGGGCCTATGGGGTCGGGGGTAGGGTTGCGGTAGGGTGGGGACAGGTTAGGGTGGGGTCAGGTAGGTAGGGTAGGGGTAGGGGTAGGCGGTGGGTGGGGTCGGGGTAAGGTAGGGTGGTTTAGGGGTTAGGGGTTAGGGGTATGGGTACACATATTATATTATATACTTGTGTTCATGAATGTTTGTGTGTATATATATGTATAGGGTTATTTTGGACATTTTAATGTTAAGCGGTGTTTTAAACCGTTTGAAGTAAACACGGTCTTACAACATTGTTTATTTTATGCGCCGCTTATTAACACGGGTCTTAATAAGCACCGTTTAATAACCGGTGAAGTAAACGTGTCCTCAGTGTAGTTTCTAAATATATATTCCGTAAATTTTATCAGATGTTCCAAAGGGGACCTAAATATATAAATTTTAAGTATTATTATTAATTTAAATATTGTTAGGGATGGTTTAATTAGATCATATGTCAAATTTTGTAAGCCGTAAATGGCTAAGTGTAATGAGAGCATGAGACGGAGAGAGTACACATCATACCAAATCAAGGCAGACCGGGTTAGACTTCAATGTACAAGTTTAGACCAGACCTGATAAATTCTCATCCAAATTAACAAAGTCCTTGTTGTGTTTCTTGTTAGGTTTGGTTTTAATCAATTATGTTTAGAACTTCTGATTTATGTGATGTATGAAAACCTAACGAACTAAAAATGAATTACACATTGTTCCGTTTGATATTATGGTTCAGTCAAACCTAACTGTAGGCCTGTAATGCCCACCCCTACTTTTGGTAATAGAAAAAAATGAGATATTGACTGACATGTTGTGTGCAGTTATCCAGTTCGAGTTTTTTCCGATTAGGTGGGTCGTCTAGGCAGCCCGGTCTGTCCAGCAGCCGTGATCAAATCTCTGCTGGGCCTGACCCTTCATTTACCCGCCCGACAGATGTGAACCCAGATATGCTACATAAGATGTCCAGCACCGCTGCACAGAAGAGCTCTTCCCTCGTGCCATCTTCTGATCACAAACGCAACTCCTCAACAAGTAAAACCAATATTAAAAATTTCGATTCTACCCTTAAAGGTATAGAGGGCCTAAGTTTCAGCAACTAAGAAAAGATATTGCAACGCCACCCCACCATTACAATGTTTCCTTTTCTCGCAATATATTTTCGTCATTCGCCCGAGAACTGCTTTGAAGAAGTCAAGCTGTAAGGTGAAAGTACAGGGGCATGATGGTAACTCCAACAAGCACAGAATAAAGAATGTCATCACGTTTCTAACACAAAAAACGAAGGTCCATCATCTACATACTCCGTATTATTTGTGCTTTGATCGCTCTATGAACTATTCCATTTTTATGTTGTTTCGTTTGGATTCAAAGGCTATCTATACGTTATGCCTTTTTTCTTTTGTATCTTTTCTCATAGTTTCCTTTTATGGGATGCCAGAATGAGAGGCATTATTATTACTATTATTAGTATTATATCATCATCATGTAAATCCGTGAGAACATAAAAAAGAGCATTGTGAGGAATAACATACCTTTTTCCTGTTCTCTTGGCTTTGTGCATAATCCCTAAAGAATCAGCAGCTTTGTATAGGTCTTGTTTGGATGACAGGTGGATGTTTGCCTGAAATTAGTTGTTTGCAGATTGTGTTGTACTGTTAGATAATAATAATTTTATAATATCAAAGTCAGACATAAAGTCATAAAGATATTCCAATATCGTTTCAGTTTTCAAATTAAGAGCCTGTTTGGTAGCACGGAAATCGGCTGTTTTGGTTGATTCTGCTGAAATTTATGAAGTTCTGGCTGAAGTGGCTGCATTGGGTGATTCTGCTGATTTAAGGAAAAATTATCTTTAAAATATATTTTATTAATAAAATAAAGAAAAAGTTATGTGTAAAAATAGCTAAAATGGTCATCTACAGTAACTTCAGTCAATACAACCAGAAAAGCAACATCAACCTTACTTTTTCTGCTTATTACACAATTCAGCGCGCGAAGGCAAAAATTACGCGTTTGGTGAAAAAGCTAGCTGATAAGCCTGATAAGCCGAAAATCAGTGTTGCCAAACGGTCTCTAAATGAATTACGGAGTAGTTTGTGACGTTTATTATGTTTGTCGGTGAGGAAGCCAGACGACGATGCAAGTAGGTTGAAGTTTCAACGAGAGAAGTTTAGGGATCTCAGGGCAGTCGGCAGTCCGGACAATTCATATCATTTAAATCACTTTTTTGTCCTAAATGAAAATTAGTCCCATTTATGTCTAATAAAAAACCACAAGCTTTATTTTGGTCATTATTTGTTGTATCATTTATGTACAGATATATAATGCATATATAAGTTGTTGAGGTTTATTCCTTCAACCCTTGGACCCAACACGTAAGCCCAAAGATTTCGAGTGGAGTGAGTGTGTGGATATCTAGCCCAACAACTTTCAGATGGATCAGGAAACAAGAGAAATAGCAGGCAATGTAAGTAGGTATTATTAACTTCGTAATAACTCCCCTAAGTACAATCTACTCGCTAAAAAGGGCACGTCGGCCGTTCGTCTTACAAGGCACTTAGAAATGCTGCAAGTAAGAATGCTGAAGCTAGTATGCTAAGAATAGAAAGTTGCCAACCCCTTACAATGAAATAAATGCTACTATTTATATCCGCCAATGGGGCAGTTAGTCCTGATGATGTGGAGGATTGTTAGTGGCTGTGGCCCAACCACCAAATCTCCAGCATTAAATGCGCTTCCCGCCAGAATCTGGGTTCCCCGCCTAATTAATGACCACGATCGTCTGGTAGAACTGGGGGCCGTTCGTCTGCGGCCCTTTGTAGGACGTAACAATCTTCTGGGCCTGGGCCATCTACGGAGATGGGCCTCGGCTGACGACGTTCGTCATGGATGTGCTAACCGACCCTCGGCTGGGACCTTGTGCTGTTATCCCGGAGATAGACATTCGTCCTTATTCCTTCAGGCCAGGGCCACCCGTGGGCTGGGCGACGTACGTCGGTTTGGGGGTAATTGGGCCGAACCCCTGCTTGGGGCCATTTACCCAACATAAGTAATTTAACACATAAGTGCATGTAATCACACTAAGGGTCCGTTTGGTTCAAGAGATGTCATATTACTATGGGAATGTCAGATTACTGGGTATGTTGGATTGATGGGAATGTGTTCAATCTTTATCTCATTTGTATTTGGTTAAGATTAAGGGAATGTGACATTAATTTGTTTGGTTGAATGTTATCTTATATTGCAAACTTGATAAATTACTTCAATGTCCTTCAAATATTTTCTCTTATAACACAATAAATTTATTACAACCTACATTCGAAGTAATTTATATTTGGATGTATTTTCAACATATTTAAAATTAATGTAGCTATAAAAATACTTCCTCCATTATGTTGAAAGATTTACATTTTCCTTATTTAGGCGTCCCATTTAAAGGTTCTCATTCCATTTTAGGAAATAACGTAGTCTCTTTAATTACACATTTACTCAATTTTTTTTGCTACTCATTATATGTCATGTCTCACAATTTCTATTTCCTCTCTTCTTTACTAAAATTACTTTATTTAATCATTTTCCTAAAAAATCATGTCATTTACTCATGGGAACCTTTCAACGGGACGAAAGAAGTAGATTTTAATCTCAACCCTATAGTGGGATTTTGAAAAAAACGATGCAACATTAGATAACGTAAAACAATTAAATCATACTTTAAAATACGAGTAATAAATAATTTAAATCATACTTGTTTAAAATATGAGTAATTAATAAATAATTTAAATCATTCAACCAATAAAATAAGAAAAACAATTTAAATCATACTTGTTTAAAATACGAGTAATAAATAATTGTTTTGCAATTTAATACGTAAAATCAAAACTTAGGTGTTTAATAAAGTTGGCTAATAAGAAGAATAAGCTAAAATTAGAGATTACAAAGTGGAGTCTTAATTTTTCAAAACTCGACTTAATTGAAGCCCAAAAGTAGTTAATACGTAGTTTACTACAATACCTATTTAAATTTATTGTACATTTCTTGGTTATTATACCTCCTCTTGATTAAATGTGGGGGGTATTTTTTGGAAGAAGTGTTGTGAACAACCAGGCATCCAACATAACCTAAGAGCTCCATGGGTTTATGATTACTGGGCATGAGATTACATTCTTCACTTTTGGGAATGTAACATTCCCAAATTTTTTTAAAACCCGCAAACCAAACGCGGGTATTTGAGATTCCGGACATCAGATTCCGACATGCATACAAGATTACCTCCAACCAAACGCACCCTAAGGGTGTTTTTTGGTTCGATTTCATTGGTTTAGATCTTATCGGTTCAATTTTTGATCGGTTTCGGTGATAATTTTCTTTCATGATATGCCAGTGGAAATAACTTGTGACAATGATACTTTGGTAATCTTATGAATTATGATTATGATGTGATGCAGAATTGGAAATTATTTTGTCATATTTTTTACTAGAATAATCTTAAACGGTTTGTGACGGACTTTCATGCACTCCACTCTAACTAGTCGAAAATAAGATGGTGATGAATCGATGATAATGTTGCATGAATTAATATACCAACCAAACAACCTATGTTTGTTAATTCTTAAAACAGTAGAGTGGTATTGATAAAGAGAGGCCCTATTTTTTTTTTTGATAAATCTTCAAACCAAACAAACACAAACAACAACAATAAAGTTATACGAAGTAATTAATAGTGGTGTGGCAGTAAAAAAAACACAAACAACATAACAATTGTAGATGTATCAAACCAAACTTGACATTAAAAAAGGAACTTAAAATGTTGAAACTTAAGAATTACGGTTTAACAAATCAATCAAATGCACACAACTGCACACATAAGAAACTAGATAAATCACACAAATCTAAGTTAGTATGAGAAATTAATGTCACAAACGAAAAAGAAACAAATATTACATGCAATCAGGCCCATGAACCGGAAGAATTTCAGATACACCCCTCAACTCGTTGAAAATTAAGCAATCAAATCTTTTTTCCTGTTGGTGTCGGTAATTTCTCATCTATTTACCTGCACCAGCAGGTAAAAAAAGATCTGATTGGTTAATTTCCAAGGAGTTGAAGGGTGTATTTGCAATTCTTCCGGTTCAAGGGCCTGATTGTAGACAAATAGTTCGAGAGCTTATTTGCCTCTTTTCCCTATTAACAATTATGCTATGACCCGGCCCATTGGCGTTGTCTATGTTGTAAAATCCGGACAGGTAAATGACCCGACCAAATGATTGGGTCACGGGTCAGCGCAGACCCAACGGGTCAACCCGGTAAATGCCGGAAAACCCTGGTCATCTTTTATAATTTTTATAGTAATACATACTCCCTTCGTCCCTGAAACAACTTCTCACTTTCCTTATTTGGATGTCCCTAATTTAACTTCTCATTTCCTTCAACATCAAGTTATCTACATCAAAACAACGCCAAACAGTGCCAAATAGTGTTGAAACAGTGTCAAAACAGTAAAATTTACCTCTTGGTAAGTTTGTTTCCTTAATATGTGTGTAGGTCAAACCGAGAACTTGTTTCGGGTACGGAGGGAGTATATAGTAGTATATAAATTTTTAATAAAGTTAAATATTTTTCACAATAATCAAATAATTAAATATTTTATAAACTATTTATGTGTCTTATTGATGTTGAAATGAAATTTAGAAGAATGGAACGTGTAGTAAAATACTCCTTCCGTCCCGAAAAGATTCGCCAACTTTGACTTTCACGTGGACTAATAAAGTAAAAACTGTGTAGTTGAAACTTGTGCAGAGGAGAGAGAATTAACTTTAGTCACATATTTCTCACTTTAAATGGAAATGGTTTTGGGACAATCAAATAAGAAAATTTGGCAAACCTTTTCGGGGGAGAGTACTTTTTTGAGAATACTTTTAGCTCCACACCGGCCTTCACCATAAGCCGTGAAGTCCATTCTACTTGCACAAAAGTTATGTCCCTCACACTTTTTTATGATTTTCCCTAGGGGTGGGCATAATGGTTTGGTTTAACCGAACCGTACCAAACCAAATCGAAACCAGACCGTATGAAATTTGGTTTGAGTTTGGTACTATTTCTTCCAAACCGTATTAAACCGAACCGAAACCGATAAAACCCGAAGAAAACCGAACCGAACTAAAGAAATTCAAAAAAACCTTCATATATTATTAAAAATTAACAAATCCAAACCAACCCAAACCGAACTAAACCGAACCTAACCGAAAAATAGTATGATGTTTGTTTGGTAATAATTCTTCCAACCCGTTCCAAACCGAACCAAACAGAAACCGATAAAAATTGAAACGAAAATAGATATGCCTAGCCTTAATTTTCCCCACTTAATCGTGTATCAATATCACCAAAATTGAACTGCAATAGTTGCTAAATAGGGCGAGCCATAGAAATGAAAATGCCTAAAAGCATGTTCAAATTAATAACCAGCGTGACTCGGGCAATGTTGAACTATTGAGGGCTTTATACCAAGTGAAAATGCAATTTCTATAATATAAATGTTGGAAAAAATTGTTAAAATTGCATTAAATGGTCCTTTGGAGTCATTTTTGAGTGGGGTCCACTTTCGATTTGGGTCGGGTCAAAGTGGTTTCAGATTGTCTTTACTTAGGGCTACAATTCGATATACGGTATGCTCAAAACGGATAATGGGTGAATGAGAAATTGATTTT